GGTCAGAATAATAGACCTCATGTCCGTTTTGCCATTTCATCTTAAATTTGCGTTCGGTGATAGTAACTGCTTGTAGAAAGACAGACTTCTTAGCATCTCAAAATGTTTGCTGCGTTTATCATAAACTATTCCCCATTGACGTAGACAAAAAAACACATTTCTTCTGTTTTTATGACAATTCCAGCAAAATGTAAGTTCAAAAATAAGTCAAACGATTTGAACTTCAAATGTAAGCTTTATAAAAGTCGCCGCTGATCTATCGCTGACGATCGTGTTCGTGAAGTGTCGAAAGATTTTTGTCAAACTCTTCCGTTTACAGTTCTTACTTGAGGGATATGATGATCTTAACCCATTTAAGCCTGTGCTGATACTAGTCACGCTCGTTATTTCATCGGTTCACGCCAAACATTTTGCACGTGATACTTGGAAGCAAACTCAGGGTTTTTAAAGTAACGCTTGAACACTTGAAAATGCACTTCATTGGGTAGAAAGTCTCGAGCACATGGAAAAATGAAATATATAACCTTGGGAAAATCACCCAGTTTTAGACTATTCAGACTCTGAACGTTCTTCGTAAATTTCCTTTAAGGTCATAATTTCAATCCTCGGAGAACGGATCTCGCTATCATTTTTAGCTAAATCTTTTTTATTCTTCCGGTGATTATTATATTTTTAATTTTTGTATTTTCAAGGGAATAACTTATAATACCACAATTATGCGAAAATAAATGTAGGTCACTGTGCTCATTCAAGAGCAATTTAAGACCATTGCATCAGTTAACCTCGTCTATCGGCCAAAAAGAAAAACAATTCACCATGTTCTCGGAAATCGGGGATATCTACTTTCTATTGTTCTTTAATACGAAAAGTTATAAACAAAAGACATTTCCCAGGTGATTACTACGGGGGGAGGAGTTAGCGGTTACTGCAAGGTTTAAGTTGACGTTCCTTTTAATGGAAAAATTGTAAAGAAACTGCAGACCTTAGGGGAAAACAAGAATGTTGTAATAGATAGGATAAAGAGTTACCTGGAAAGTGTACCCTGATACACTTAAGTAATAAGTTCCACTTGAGGTCCTTCCCGCTGCATAGTGACTCTTGCAGGATGTGTCGGTTGCAACTTAATAAGATTCCATCATCAATTGTAAAACGCATGTAGGAAAAATAAAGAAAACATACAGGTGTATTGATTTTTTTACGTTACGTACAGCAGTTAGGTTCATTGAAACTTGAGTTTTTCGCTCGACTATTATTTAAATTCATAACTTACGCCATTTATCTGCCCTTTTTGTACTCATCCCTTTTTCTTTT